TCTCATCTCATCAACACAAAACCCTTTAATTTATATTATGGAACCGATTGAAGCTACTTGCTTGATTCTAATCAATTTGAGTCGTCTTCTCAAAAAGACTGATGAGAGACTAAAAACAAACAAACAAATTAACAAATCAAGAACTTGAGCCCTATCTATTTAATTGCAACAATAACTAATTTAATTTAATTTCAAAGGGAAATTAACGATTGGAAGAGATCTCTCAAAAAATTCTGTTTAATTAATTTCTTCTAGTTGTGGTTTTGATTGCAACAAGTGGGCGACATGATATTGGCATCCCAGAAGATTCATATCTTTTTTGATTTGGAAAGACAAATGAAACCTACAAATAAAGTTATACCAAAAAGAAGAAGACGTTAACTTCATTATTTATCTCATCCACATGCGCGCGCGCGCACACATATATCCTCAATTCAATCACAACACTATGTAATCCAATGTTGTACAGAAAGATAAGCCTTACTGATATATCAAATGTCACTCTTGAATAGCTAATCATCTTGACGTATTTAAAGATTTTATGTGTGTGTGTGTGTGTGGTTGTTCTAGGGCTACAATAAGATGTAAGTCTCTCGATGGTAAAAGAATAATATAGAAAGTTTTGATGAAATATATGAAAGTCCAACAATTAATATCCAACACTAAACAATCCGAAAAGTTACATCAAATATCCGAATAACAAATCAATTACACAACAAAAGATTTTGATATGCCAAAGCTGTGAAATCCACACAAACACACACACTTTGCCTCGTATATATTAAAATCAGAGAAACGAATCGAATCACAAACAGATCCAGGCAGTAAATATATATATATATAGGTTTTAATATTATAAATATGTGGTATGTAACAACTCTAGCTAAATATAATTAATAAGTGTAAACTATGAGAAGTATTGTACCTTTGTTAGTGAAAGTAACAAAGTGCGATGAATATAAATGGAGTTTAGAACGTGATGTAATGATTTTGGTACATTGGGAGTTTACAATTTACAACTAGCCACTTCAAAACTTTATTGCAGCAGCCATCAAGTGGGTATGTTGTACTAAGAATATATATTCAAATTTTTGGGGGGGAAAAGTGAGAGTATAGCAATGTCTCAATTAATTAATTAATGTTCGATCTTTAACCCAATCTACAGATCCACGTGTGATGTAATTAATTAAATTATTTATCTAGGCTCTATGGCTTGCTTTATACTAAATACTGTACTTTTACTTTTTCTTCCCTTTAAGCTAAGAGATGCTATTATGTTGCAGCCTTTTCTATTGATTGTATTTGTTTAAATTTTTTCACCAGTGATCTCAACCCTAAATAGGACTATGATTATACTAATTTGAGTTTCATTAATTTGACCCTGCTTTGGTTTTAGAACTCAAATCTGAGGTAACTGATTTTAGTATATGAAATTTAATCTTATTTTAGTACACCTAAAGATTTTTTGTTTTAAGAACCGTGTTTTTGCTTTCTGGAACAAAGTTTCAAGGACCAAAATCATTGTTTCACAAGGGATTAAAACTAAAACGAGATCAAATATTAGTAATTAAACATGACATTAAGCCATTGTTATTTTTGAAACTTCAAGTTGCATTGTGTACTTAATGAGTTTCATTTATCATATTAATATGAAGTACAAAATTTATAATAAATTTGTTTTTTGAAATTAAAATCATGTAATGCAGGAGGCCCCACTTAAGTATATAGTATAAATGAAAGAGTGATATTTTAATAATAGCTGTTATTCAAAAGCCAAAGAAGAAAAAGAGATAGTGGAAAACATGGTCAGTGGGCAGCCTTCAGACACGGCCCCTTTCTTATGGACATCCACATTTAATCAATTTCGACACTTTTGTATTTTTTTGAAAAATAGTCTCACTTCACCATACATATTAAATTGTATATGCTTACTATTTCGAGTCTAAGTTACTTTTTATACCATAGGTACACGTCTCCGTCATTGTATGTATGAGGAACGAACATAAAAAATCCAAACAAAAAGGGAGAATAATACATAATTTTAAGGGAAAAAAATCAGTTAATTAATTAACTGTCGCCCTTAAGAATAATCAGTCAAATATGTACATATGCAGAAGTCATACAATAATATCATGATAATTAATTACAGTTAAAAAAGGAATTTGATTAAAAGAAAATATATAATGAATTGGACACTTTCTCCATGTATTTTTGAATAAAATTTTATACAAAAAATAAGTTATACTATATACCTTTTGTGAATATACAACAAGTCATTCTAGTTACAAATAATTTTTCCCATAATTGTCTAATATTTTATGCTATTAATTATTAAGTTGGATTTCAGTATAATTAAATCTAGTTGGATGTAGTTTCCCTCAGTTTGATTTTTTCTTTCACAAAATTTATACTTCTGATTTTACTAAAAAAAAAAAATTGAGCCTCTTAGATATATTCTTGCCATAACTAGCATTATTTGTTATAAAACAATTTATGTTTTAGACAATACAATTATGTGTTAACCCAAGTCAACTTCCACCTCAATATATAGTCTACATAATCAAATTTAACACCCGTCAAGGCCGCATAAGCAAAGTCAACACGATTAATCCTAGCTCCAAATTCTTATGACAGAAACCAACATTTCAAACAGATAAAATTTAAAGGATGAGAAACATAATTCAAAATTACAAGGATCAAAATCAAAATGCGATCAAATCATAAAGACCAACAGTAATAATATATATTCTTTTTTTTTTCAGAATCAATATGCTACATATATATACACCCATATGATGGCTAATATTCAAGTTTAAGTGCGAGAGGTTTTATTAGTCATGGCAACCTCAGTTATTAGTCTTTGAGACTATAGATTCAAACTATCGAACTTACTATAAGAGAATCAAATCTTATGTTACACCTAACAAACCTAACCAGCATTATTATTAATTATTGGGGAATAGGGTTAGTTCATATATGTTTATATATGAGAGGCTGGAGTGAGAAGTGTACATATATAATGATGAGAATGATGAGAAGTATAGAGTAGAAAAAGGAAGAAATAGAAGAAGGACAAAGAGAGCATCTGGGAACAGTGGAGTGGGTTGTAATAAGAGAGGACCCCATGCCCTTCTGCCCTTCCCATCATCAAATTATTTGGCATCCAGACACACATCCTCGCATTATTCACTCCCCCAACATTCATACCCTCCATCTCTTCATTCATTCACATCCATCTCTTTCTTTCTTTTCTTTTCATTTTCTTTATATATACATACACACTTGTTACATATCTATGCGTACGTATATAGGACACACGGGCCATTATTATAATCCGCACAAATTTTAATTTCATTCAGGATCCCCAGGTGACGATCAATTTCATTATTATTATTTATATCTTCCAAAAATAACAAAACAACCATGATATGACAGCAATTTAATAAAAGCAGTTTAGTATGAACCATTGTCCCATATCGTAAAGTATATGGTCATTCATCGGAAAATTTAATTTGCCTTGCAAAATTTCTGTTGCCAAATTTTTGGAATAAGAAAATGTTTTTTTTTTGTCTCGAATTTTCTATTTGTTAGTAATCTTTTATTCGAAGAGGATAACTTAAACACACACGCCACAAGAGGCTTATCTTTACTAATAAAGGTAAAACTTGCAACTTCCCTCGTTTGAGGACGAGGGAGGTGCATGTATATGACAAGCGGTTCAAAACTCTCCTCTTCTCTTTTTATCCTATTTCCTTTTCTTTTATTTCTAACCATTGGCTTAACAAAGTTGAGATTTAAATCTTTTTAAAAATATTAATAAAATATTAAATTATAAAAATAAACAAATAATAAATTACAAACTCTATTAAAATTTAATTCTAATGGTTTGCAAATGCACTAAATATTTTTAAAAATTTTTATAAACAATCTATAAAAATTAAAATTTTAACTGTTGAAATATCTTAATATAATAGTTAGAAAAGGAAGATGAGGGAAGAAGATGGGCAAAAAAGAGGAAAAGTTCCAAACCAACATAACAAGATCCCTATTTTATGCCATGATTAATTAGTAAGAGAATTAGAAAAAGGATTTCTTCGTTATTGAGATCATTATATCGTTTTTTCTACTTTGTCCTTATTTGGGTATCAAGTGTATATACAGTGATCTCTTGCTTAATTTTTATGTTAAATGTTTGGAGTTTAGGAAATAAATATATGTGACCGTTAAATTATTTTTTTCATTTTTTTTTATTTTTTCCGTATCCTACAAGAATTTAGTTACCATAATAATTAGACTCTCTAGACAATTCTTATGTTATGAATCTTGTCTACTTTAATAGTGGGGCTTGCTAAGCACACAAGCACATCTATGGGGTAAATTACTATATATTTGACAAATAAAACGAATTATGAATGAAGCATGATGATAAAAAATTTAGCAATTATTGAAGAGCAATAATTAAAACAAAGGTGAGGCAGATATGCAAGTGAACCTTACTGGTTTGTTTGTTTGATTGAAGAAAGATACAGAGGTGAAGCAACAAAAAGCACCGCAAGGCCGTGCTCTCTCAAGATGCAACTTCTTTTCATTTTTTTAAAATAAATAATTAATAATTAATTAACGATTCGTGTATATATATAGAGACACAGAGAACATGAAGAAGAGTATAGCAGAAGTTAATGGGAATAATTGGCCTGGTTTTTATTGAGGTATATTTGGATCAGTATTCCCTTCTGCCACATACAAAATCATCAAGATTTCTTTTGTCTCTTTCTTGTATTCTATACTTTTATTTTATTTTATTTTATTTTTTGCTTGTTTTACTTTTCATTGAACATGGAGACAAAGTCCCCAAAAAAAAAAAACAAAACAAAGGGAGACGTATCCTTAACGTTCTCGATGTGATGAAGCTGCCTTTGTTTGTATGTATGTATTTGATAAATAATTGTTTAATAAATTTTTTTTTGTTTTGGCCAAAATAATTGTTTAATACTTAAGAGTGAAGTAATTGAGGCTTGCATGCACATGCATGCATCTTAATTATTATTAGGCATATTAAAAATTGAGTTATCTGAATTTTTTAACTTTGGCTTAATGATGTCCATTTGTACTATGTTGCATAAGTTAATTTTTATTTATTTTTATAATTATTGCCGACTGCGCACTTAAAAAAATCACTTTGTAATGAGAAATAATGTTTTTTGACTGACAGAGTACAAAATTAATTAGCTAATGAAAAATCAACTTAAGCCCAAAGTTTTCTGTTAATTATTTTATTTATAAATGGAGGTATAAAACATAATAAATTTTATTGATATCATTTTTTAAGCTTTAAAATTATTTAAAATTATGCCTTTTGATGAAGATCCTTTAAAAATATTCTGGAAAAAAATGCTCCCGCGTCCACTTATATGTGGATTAATTACATCAAATAGTAGTTTGGTTATATTATAAGAGTAATTAATTAAAGTGTGTGGTCAGCATGATAAGTAAATATAATGAGGCTTTGAAGAAGAAGTTGTTGACCCCATCTCATTAGCTGCTTTATGAAATTATTAATTAAAGTCTCTTAAAGTTTAAAAGCATAATTATATTATTATATATCATATATATATATATATTTATATACACGTATGAGTGAGATTATATATATAAAGCTCTCAATCGAGATCTACATGTCTGCGCTGCTGCCTCTTCATGATGCGCCTACAATAAGCATTATTCTTTCTTACATAAAGCAAACCTGCCTAAGTGCTTATTCTGTCTCCAGCTTAATTAATTAATTAACAATTAATAATCAATAGGAAGATGATGCTAGTTGGATTCTGCAACACATGCAACTTACTTAGCACCATGTCTTTCGCAATCATCTCTCCCAAGTGTGTTATCCATCACTCTCATTTAATAATAATAATAATAATAATAATAATAATAATAATAATAATAATAATATAATAATATAATAATAATAATAATAATAATTTCTGACTTCTTTCTCATTCATTCTTTAATTATTTACTTGTTCACCAAACTAGCTTTGTACACCTAATTAACTACTCCTTCAGTCCTCAATATAAGATCGATTTAACTAATTTGATTAGATTAAAGAAGTTAGGTAAATTAGTTGATTATAAGAAATATGATATGCTTTTCTTAAAACACCATAATCATATTTCTTAATATCCTTCCTCCCTCTTCTACTTGATTATGATTGAGGGAATATTTATAGGGATAATTTAGGGGAAAAAATGATAAATATGAGAAATAGGTCTTATATTTAGGATCAAAATCAACTCAATAATTAAGTCATATATTAAAGACCGGAAGAGTACATTATTAGCCCTTGTTTCCAAATCCCTATCTACATACACCACACACAATACACTAATATTATTAAATAATTGGTACTAGGATGTTGTTTGGTTCTATCTAGCTATATTGTCTCTCAAATGAAATTAAACTAAGTATAACAATTTAAAATTTTCAGGAATATTTTTTAAACTGTTTTTTTTAATACTATCAGCTAGGAGCTCTCTTTCTACCTCTACTTTTCAGCACGTGGAGGTTCTCTTTCAGCTCCTGACCTTTTATGGGTGTGATGAATGTGAAATTTTAATTTAATAAAAAAAAGTTTTGATTAAATAAATAAGCGGTGATTATAATATCTATATAGCTATAATATGATATAAATAAAACAAGATTCTTGGAAATGACCCTATTATAAGTGATAAAAAATGTGACTCACTTCCACCTTTAGGAATAAAGCACAAATTTACAATCTAAACACATGAAGCAAGAGTATAGAGGTATTAATAATAAGATAAAAGGATATTATCAAGCAAGTATTTAAACCCTTGTGATATATGAAAAATTATATTCTTAAAGTGACATATATTTTAACTATCAGATTTTAAATTATTTGAATATATAATATGTATAATTCACCAAAAAATGCTTTTTTTTAATTATTTGGTTTGTGAATAATTTTGAAGATAAAAATTTTAATGCTAAAAAGATAACATATATAATTTGTTTCAAACTCATAAGATCTGGAGAAAAGCGTGGTGATATTCATTTTTATAAAAATAATAATTGAATGAATATAAAATTATTAAATTAAGAATATTCCCAGGATGAGATGAATGTTGGTAAAATGAGGGGATTGGAGGAGGAAAAGGAGAAGGGTGGTGAAAATTATGATGAAGTTGGGGCGGGCCCCACCCGGCAGCCACCAAACAGACCCGACTTATTTCTGGTGCGGGCCCGGGCACCCCGCTCTCTCATATTCTTTTGTCATATCGGAGTTGATGTTACGATGCTACGGGCACTACAGAATGTCCGTGCTCTCCACGAATCACCGCCTTTCATTTTACCCACTTGCTTCTCTCTCTTTCCTGCCCAACACACTGATGCGATTTGATCTTTCCTTGACCTCTGCCGCGTGTAGCCAATCATTTTTCCGCTCAGACTACATCCTTCATTTTTGTGCAAACTTAATAAATGACCTCAATTCCAGTTTTAGATATAAAATTTAATTAGAGGTTCAATTCGATTTTAATTATAAAAATTTAATATACTTTGTCTCTAATATTTATCCACTAGAAAATTTCTACGATGATTGCACATATTAAGAAGTTTTTATCAAGGCGTAATTTAGATGCGCGTAATTGATAAGTGATGTATTAGAGAAGACAATATCTATTTATTATAAATAAATAAATATTTTTAATTTTTAATATTTTCAAGTTAGTTATATAGCTCTTATATTAAGTACTAGAGATAGTATTGATTATTGTTAACTATTATTAATAATTACTAATTACTCAATAATAATTATTAATATTTTTAATTAATATTCATGTATTCATGTAATTATATAAAATAAAAATTCAAAAGAAGCTGTGTCATCTACGATATATGTAGCAGTTTCTTTTTTCAGATTTCATGTTATACACAACATTTGCATTTTGCACCTAAATATTATTTATATAATTATATCAATATTATTAAAAAAATAATTATTAACAAGTTTTATTGTTTTCGAATTGTTATTAATATGTCTACAATTTATTGTTTGAGTTACATCCACCACTTGCCATCATCCAGCTAACATCATCGACATAAGCGATTCTATCCATATTAATTTTAATGCTAATTTCTTCACCTCTTGTGTCAATATCTTCATAATAAATCGGTTTCCTATAAACACACACGACACTATTTTCCAAAAGGGAAACTGAACAACAGTAATTAGGTTAACAAAAATAAACATTCTAAAATTTAATTTAATCCATGTGTGTATTGCTCATTTGCGCAATCATTTATTATTATTATTGATGACTTTCGCTTTTTTCTCTGTAGATTAAGAGAAGTTATTGATCACATAAGAATTAATCAAATACACAAAGGAAAAAAAAACCACTCAAAAACTTAAATTACAATGTATTTTCGCATATATATTAATTGTAAAGGAATATATAAATATATAATCTGTGTGTACATATGAAAATATTGTAAAGGAAGGACCGAAGGAGGAAGAAGAGAGAATCTTTGAAGCCCGACAAATGTCAAACTCAAGTCCTATTTATGATCCAAAATTGTTGTATATATCCATTATTAATTGCTTTTAGTTGTAAGAAATAGATTGATGCTTTTCGTATATACCAAATAGCATTAATTAGGTTTAATGTGACATATATCCTCCTCCCTTACAATTTATATACTCTTCCAGTCCTTAACATAAGACCCATTTAACTAACTTGATTAGATTAAGGAAGTTAGATAAGTTAGTTAATTATAAGAAAAGTGACATATTTTTCTTATAACACCATAATCATCTTTCTTAATATCTCCTCTCCCTCTTCTACTTGATTATAGTTGAAAGAGTATCCATAGGAGTAATTTAGAAAAAATTAATAAATATGAGAAATAGATATTATATTTAAAACCAAAACCAATTCAAGAATTGGGTCTTATATTAAAAACCGGAAGAGTGTATATATATATATATCATATTTTATAACAGTTACACTACAATATGAATCAATCTCAATCACTCCTGTGGATCCAATGTTATGTGAGCACAGTATGATATAAAAGTATATAAAAGAAATGGTCATAAGGGGACCCACACCTCCCTTCCCCATGGCCAATGAATTTTATGTAGTCTCTCCCATTTTAAATATAGGAGTTAGTTACTCCTCCGGTCCTAATTATAAGATCCAATTGACTTATTTGAGGAGATTAAGGAAGTAAGTTAAGTTGGTTATTTATAATAAATAAGTGTTGTCATTCCTAAAATATCCTTGCTAATTAAGTATATTGGCTAAAACTATCATTATTAGAAGGATTATCTTGGAAAAAAATGCATAAATATAAGAGACAAAATAGATTGGGTCTTATAATTAGAACCAAATAAAAAATCAAATTGGGTCTTATAATAAGGACCGGAGGAGTAATATATTTAATCATAAATACACGATTTCAACCTGTTTTGTCTTCATACAAATTTATAATCTTTTAGCTCAAACTACCCTATTTAGTATAGTAGTAAGGGAGTTTCCATGCAAATGATGATTAAAGAGCATATTTTAAGAAAATCAATATATATTTTATATAAATAACTAACTTAATTAGTTAATATTTTGAATCTCTTTAAATTTGTTGTCTAATACCTCTTATACTAATGACTTGAACGAGTAAATTGTAACATTGGCTTTTTCAATAAATGTGTGGGTGTGTACTTTTGGTGAATGATAGTGTACAATGAATTGGTTTGAATATTATTCTTGAGTGTGAAGGAGAGTATTGCAAAGTGGGGCTATGGGTGGGATAAAGAGGACGAACCTCGCCACCAAAACACATGCGGGAATATATATCCTCACCAAAATCTGCATGTGCAGCGAATATGTTTGTCTATGTTTGTATCCATGAATATGCATTCATCAATTATTCATATATTATCCCTCTAATTTCTCATTACTTTCTAAATTTTATTACTGATCGATATGAGTACCATTTTGGTAAGTAATTCGAAAGTATCTTTGAAAATGCTCTTTCTTAATCTATCTAAATTACTCATCTGGTCATTAATTTAAAACCTACTCAATTAATTTGAGTAGATTAAAGATGTTGATTAAATCAGTTAATATGATATGTTTTTTTCTAAAATATCTTAATTATTTTTTTAATTTCTTTCCTCACTCTTCTACTTAATTATTATTGAGAGAATATTAATACGATTAATTTGGAAAAAATTGATAAACATATAAAATAAGTTTTACATATAGAATCTATATTACCTCTTAAATTAGGTCTTATATTAAGGATCAAAAGAATAACCAGTTAAGTATTTCTTACATTAAGGAATGGAGGAAATTTTTTTTTTTAACGGATGAGTTAATTGATTTCTATAGACTTCGCTCACTCTAAACTTGAAAGTGGAACTTTAGGTGCTTTACAAGTTTGGATGGACATTCCTATGTATAATTTTTTATTAGAGAAAAACAAGAAATTAGTTGCTAGTAAGTTGGAACGGGCCGTTTACATTAAGTAACTAATTCTCACGAAGAAGCTTCCCACAACATGCTCATATATTATGATTTACCATATGGAAATGATAGTGTAAGGCCTATTTAGTCCAAATGCTTTATAGTTAATATCGTGTATTGATTGAACAACAGCAGTTCGTTCATCCTACACACGAGTTCAAAAACAAAAAAGCCTCACAAACGATAAATTAACAGGACATTCTTTATTAATTAAAAAATTTCCAATAATTAACATCGACATAACTGTTAAAAAAGGGTAAAGAACCGTACCATTCACAGGCTACTACCATTATTTAATTTTAATTTGTGCAAATGAAGAGAGCTAGTTTAGTTACAAAAGTATACACACATGCATATATGTGTGTGCTGATATGGCGTTTAGCAGACTCGTTGATCATAACTGATTAATAATATGAATTTTTAGTAAAATTACCATTTCCCTGCAACTCCATCACCAGCGTAATGAAAAATCATGAGCTAATAATGACAACATCCCCAAACCCTAAAACTATCATAACCTTAAAAACTCTTTTAATATAAGGACTATTTAACTATTTTAAAGAAATTAAAATAGCTGAATAAATTATTTAATTTAAATAAAATTGACACCATCTCTCTAAAATGCCCTTATATAGTATTAGAGTATATATTAGCTTGTAAGTTAGATATAAACAAGTTTGGTCAAAATTGATTATAAATATTAGAGATAAAATGAATTAAGGGTCTTATATTCATGGTCAAAATTAACTCCTTAACTAGCTCTTGTGTTTAGTGCGGAAGGATGAATTGTTGTTAAAACGCAATAAAAGGTAATTAATAAATTACTGATGATTACACCATGCATGCAGCACATAAATTCTTGACTACAAAAAAAAAATCAAATTAGAAATGGATATTTAATATATTATTATTTATTTGAATTTAATTTTTATATTTTAATAAAAATTTCTAGTAATTTATATTTTTATTTAAATATTTAACAAAATACTAAGTATATTATATATTTTTTTTTCTTTTATAATATTTGTATTTTTTTAATTTTTATATAATATATTATTTAAAAATTATGGTATATTATATTTTATTTTAATAATAAGTTTAAAATAATTGTTATATATTTATATTATGTTTTTTATGACAGATTAGTGACGGAATTACGACGAAATTAGTGACGGAAAAATTTGTCATAAAATGAGAGTTAGTGATAGATTGATAATAGAAATTATGACGAAATTTTTTCATTACTAATTTTTGTCAATAATCATTTAAAACAAAATTAACGACGGACTTGTGACAGAATTTAGTGGCGGAATAAGATTTTGTCACTAATCCATCTCTAAATTAGTGACGAAATAATCCTTCATTGATTTAGCGACATAAATTTTTTGTCACTAAGTCCTGTCACTAATTTTAGTGACAGAATTTGTGAGGGATTAGCGACAGATTAGTGACAGAATTTTATTTCATCATTAAATTTTCTCACTAATATGCTAACTTTTTGTAGTGCGTCTAGTACATGTGTATTATATATACACCTAACATCAATGAATTTTTCATGGGCAGATATTTTGTTCCTAATGTATGATGATATATATGTGATATACAATATAATAAAAACAATCACAAAAGCAGATAAAATTGTACGTTTTTCGATAATGTTTTTTAACCATTGAATAATGTATTTCTATTATTTTATGTGGCGCATAGGTTAAAACAAGAGGGCAAAATGAGAAGGGAGAAAAATGTGAAAGAAGAAGAAGCTATAGAGACGTGTTTTTCGGCTAATAATGGTTTGGATTTGCATGATCAACTTTCCGTAAACATGCAATGCTAATTTCCTTGCAAGTTACTACAAAGTTAATCGATGAGTTTATGTACGCCACTTTTATATATACATAACATCAGGAACACGTACGGATTAATTAGTTATTGATTAATGTGTAATAAGTTTTGCCTCTTCCGGTGCACAAAGAAGGTAATCCCATCACCCCCATTTATGTGATAGTGTACTTTCCTTCCTTTTCTTGTCTTTCCCTTTCTTAATTTTTACATTAGATTTTTTCCCACATGAAAACGATATTGATTTTTTATTTTTATTTATATATTGTTTATAAAGTCACGATTTTTCTTTAAAAATGATTATAGGTTATTTAAATTAAATAAGCTCCCTCTGCACAAGAATTATTAAATTTTTAACAATGCTTCAACTAATGCATTGATATAAACAATAAAGCGCTATGATAAATTTGATCTTATTTTTAAATATATTAATTATAATTTATAATGGATAAAATTATAAAAAATGAATTGATCATTAATTTTTTTTGACAAAAGTCATTAAATTGACTATTATTACTTTTAGTCTAATTATAAGACTTTATTTATAGTCTACAAATAGAGTCTTATAATTAGGATCGGAGGTAATATTATGTAAACTGGATAAGCCTCCTTGGCACAAGAATTTCATTTTATCTGTGTGTGTATATATTAATTACTCCTCTGGTCTTAAATATAATACCAATTTTATAGTGTAATTTACATTACAAAAGGAGTCTTATGTTTAGGACCGACGGAATATATTTTTATCAAGTTGATTATAGACTCATTAATTATACTTCTTCATGTGTTAATTATATATATATATATATATATCTACATATATCCCCCCTTCTCCTAATGTGGCCATAAAACTCGAAGGTAAAATGATGGTCGTCGCCGTACCACAGGGACTACTGCTTACATGTATGTCTTGGCTTGGGACAATATTGCCAACATTACGAACTCTCCTAGAAAAGACAACCTCGCCTTAATTTCAACTCCTTACTGTTAGCTTTGATGCCCCCAGTTTACCAAAAGGCAAAGCCACCTTAATTAATTAATTTTGGAATTTAAAAAAAAAAAAACACACACACACACATGCTGTGTAAGTACCGTAGTGCCCTTGAGGGTGACCTCACGTCCTCATTATCTAACTTTATAAAAGCTGCTTCGTGAGAAATTAATTAGAGGTTCTGCACAGTCACGAGCATGGGTACAATGGTCTATAAAGATAATATCCTCCCCGCGCAAGAGAGATAGAGGGAGGGGTAGAGAGAGAAAGTGTGACAAAAATAGGAAGCTTACGTGGGTATGGGGGTGTAATTATGCATGGATTGAAGGCAGGAAAAAAAAAATTTACGGTGAGAAAGAGAGAGAAAAGAAGAGAGAGAGGGGGAGAGATAAATTATGAGAAGGGATGTGTTTGTTTGTGGGGGATTTTTTTTTTCCTTTTTTTTTTTGCCTCTCATATATCTGGAGCCCATTTAGAGAGGAGGGTGCCTGTGGGATCAAGTTTCGAGCTTTGTGATTGGGTCTGTGTGTCTCTCTTTTTGAAAGTTTATTAAGGAGAGACAACACCTTCTGAAGATGAGAGTTGGAATTGGAAGCAAGAGAAGAAGAGAGAGATAGGGGGAGAGAGAGAGAGAGCCCCATGGAAGAAAAAGCTGAAAGTTTAAAAGCAAGTTAAAAGAAAGCTGAGAGAGTAACCGAAAGAAAGAAAGCAAGAAAGCAAAGATCTTTTTCCTTCTTCTTCCCTCCCCCCCGCCCCTCTCTCTCCTATGCCTTCTAGCTGTCTTTTCTTCTTTCTCTCTTTGTTCCTCTCATGATCTCTCCATTTACTTAATCCTATCACCAACAATTCACCACTTTACCTCAACACACAGAGACACCCATACCACTATTATAAGCAAGGATCATCACAGAACAAAAACCCCATGTCATCACTTCCAACGTCGGAGCAGTTTTCCACCGCAGAAAATGGCGCCAATACTACCAACAAAAGAAAGAGAAGACCCGCCGGAACACCAGGTAGTGTGTGCGCCACAGTCTTAATTTGAATTCCCATTTGTGTTCATGATGAAATTAAACGTTGAATTGATTTTGGGATTTATATAATATTTGCAGATCCAGATGCGGAGGTGGTTTCGCTGTCGCCCAAGACGCTATTGGAATCGGACCGGTACGTGTGCGAGATCTGTAACCAGGGGTTTCAGAGAGACCAGAACCTGCAGATGCACAGGAGGAGGCACAAGGTGCCATGGAAGCTGCTCAAGAGAGAGACGCCGGTGGTGAGGAAGAGGGTGTTTGTTTGCCCGGAGCCGACATGCTTGCACCATGACCCTTGCCACGCCCTCGGCGACCTCGTCGGAATCAAGAAACACTTTCGCCGGAAGCATAGCAACCACAAGCAATGGGTCTGCCACCGCTGTTCTAAGGCCTACGCCGTCCAGTCCGATTACAAGGCACATCTCAAGACCTGTGGCACTCGCGGCCATTCCTGTGATTGTGGCCGAGTCTTCTCCAGGTATATATATCACATATATATATATGCAATATTGGTATTATTAAATCAAAACTTCGGATACTCACAACAGATACATCTGTTTGTTCTTTGATTATATATGATTGTATTATCAACTCACTTAAACTTGATGCCGTTTTGTTTTACATTGGTTTTGACTTGAGAAAAGGGAAATACATTTTTTGGAATGGAATATAAAGTTAGTGAGGGGGAAATAAAAGGTTTTCGTATTTGACTGATGCAACATTATTAATCCTAACTTTCAAACATATAAATAATACTGTTTTCGCGACGGTTGGAGAACACTGCTCCCAAAGCTCTTTTTTTTTTTTGGGTTTGGTTTTGGTCCCATACATACAGATATATATATATATATATATATATATATAGCTTCTGCCGTTCCAGGATCATCTTCTTCGTGATCATACGTTGTATATTTCTTGGACGAACGAACTACAGCATATATGTCTTAATCTGAGATATAACGAGTTTCGAGATGTGATTTAATATGATTCTTGCTTCTTCACCTTTATTCAGCGGAACCCCCTTTCGCCATTTCAAAAAACCAGTGGACGCCTTTTCTAAAAAGAACACCTTTTACAATCACTTTTTCTTTCTTTCCTCCTTCCTTCCTTCTCCTTCTTTAATTAGCTCGCTCTTTAAGGTCCACACTCCTCCATCATCTAATCCCATCCTTTCAAATGCTAAATGATGATGATGTTTCTTCTTCTTCTTCTTCTTCTTCTTTGTCTTTATGTTCATCCTTTTTTGTTGTCCTAATTGTATGCATGCGCGTAGGGTGGAGAGCTTCATCGAACACCAAGATGCGTGCAATATGGGGCGACTCCAGTCGGAGGGGCAGCCGCAGCAACCGGCGTGTCTATCTCGAACTGCATCGAGCCCCAGTCCGTCAAGCGAGACCAATTTCAGCGCCGGTCCGGCCTGGCCTCCACCTGGTCTGGTGATGACAAAGCCAAATGCGGAACCCACATTCTTGCAGAACAATAACCCTATTATTGCTCATCAAACCTCGTCCAAGACCAACCATCAAAACAACAAGCTCTACCCCAACCTGGACCTTCAGCTCTCAACCGCCACGCCGCCCAACGACGTCGCAAGAGACGACACCCATTCGACCCAGTTACAGCTCTCAATTGGGTCGTCGGACCTGAGCGACAAGAACGAATCAAATAGGACGAATTCATCACCAAAGGAGAGCAGTAACAGCAGCGATAAGCCGCCGGGTGCGGTGGCGGCGCTGATGGTGGAGAAGGCATACGCGGAGGAGGCAAGGAAAGAAGCCAAGAGACAGATGGAGGCGGCGGAGCAAGAGTTCGCGAACGCCAGGAGAATAAGACAGCAAGCTCAAGCTGAACTGGATAAAGCATTCGCTTTGAAAGAGCAAGCGATTAAGCAGATCAATTCAACTATGCTTCAGATCACATGTCAAGCTTGTAAGCAACAGTTTCACCAGCAAGCTCAAAAATTAATAACGGAAGGTGGCCAAGTATTAGACCACAACAACAACAACGGGAAAGAAAACCATCACTAACTGATATCGAAACATATATCATCTCTCCCAAGTCTGGTTTTTTCTTCTTCTTTTTGGGTCTTACCCTCATTATATATCTTTGTGAATTGGTATACCGAGTAAGAAGTGATGATGTGATTATTGTGTACGTGGGATTAGTGGGGTGTTTAAGTTTTTAGTTAAATTCGGCACTACTACCAGCCAGCAGACTATAAAACTATGTTTTAAGGGTTTTGCTAGAAAGCTTTTCTTTTCTGATCTTTCCCCCCCCCCCCTTTTGTTTGTCTTTTCTAGCTATTATATGGATATGAATATGAATAATCTCTAGCTCTTTGATCTGTTGGCAGTAGTAATGATGATATGTATTTTATATCTTGTAATGATCAGGCTGTTTTTACTCGATCACTGCATTGAATGCACGAGAGAGTCTGAGAAAACTCTGAAATTTCCCCTAACCTGTAGTTCTGGTTGTTTGGATTTTCTGCTGGGACTATTATGAGAAGATCTTTGTTGGGCAATAGCAGAAGAGAAGGTCATCAGAGAGAAAATGGAAAACAGCCCAGCAAGCTAGGCCATCGTCTTTTTCTTTTTATCAGTACACATCACGCAAACAACAATAATAATAAACATTAAAGAAATTAATGCCCTCACCAGATGAATCAAAGGTGACAAAATTACGGATACATCGAGCCTTCTTATTATTAAAGCATACTGAATAAGCCTAGTCAAATAACTGTAAGGTCAGCAAAATCTTAAAAGGCCCAGAACAAAGTGAATAGGTTTGCGTGGGGAGGGGGGAGAGAGAGAGGTGTGTGTGTGTGTGAATTTGAAAGGAAAAGGAGAGGAGTAGCATGTTTTTCAGTGCCAGCGTAGGAGGGAGGGGTTAATGACAGTCACAGAGACTCAGTGGTCGCTCTCAAGGTCGCCCAAAGCCACAGACACAAACAAACTCCATTCATTCATGATGATGATGATCCTCTTTAATCTCTTTGCATCAGAATCAGGGCCATATGGGGGGCAGTACTGGACGCACAGAGAGAGAGAGAGAGAAGGAAGATGAAAGAGAAAGTGAAGCCCAAGCTGCAGTAACCAGAAAGAAAGTAGCATCTTTCCAAATATGCAGAGACCATTCAAAGCCTTTCATGTGTGGGTTTGAAGAGAAATGAGAGAAATACTTATACTTCTGCTAACAACAAAATAATAAAAATAATAATCTAGTGAAAACTGATACAAAACAAAAAGCCGTAAAAAGGCCAAAGTCATGAGCAGCAGCTTAAAGGGTCTGTTTTTTTCTTCTTTTGTTTTGATGATGCACTTGCCTAGAGACTAGCTCGCTCTCGTAGTAGCTTGTTGAACTCTCTCTTGGACCATGTGCTTTTTATTTTATTTTCTCTTCAGTAGTATCACACTAGTCCCCCCACTTTTATCTGACGCATAAATGGCTGTACAATCATTGTTAAGTGGTGGTTCCTCTGCCAACTTGTTTGTGCCTGACGGATTTCTA